AGGTAGGGCTTTTGGCAGCAGATACAAGAGTAGTATCCAGCTTCTTTGCAGCGGCGTTTGAGGGTCTTAACAGAGCAAGAGAGTTGTAATTCATCGTGTATTTGGATCCAATTCAGTACTCTAGTTGTATAGTTGGTGCAAATATACTCAATAATATCTCTAACCTCCTGTTCATTGAGGGATTCTCTGGGTCTCCCTGTGCGTGTAGGGCGCGCTCTTTCAGGCACATCGTATAGTAGGATCTTCCTAACTGTGCTGTCTCCTAGGTGGTAGTAGCCCTGGAGCTGTTGCAGGCCTATTTTAGCGAATTTGAAGAGCCGGCGTATGCCCTCTTTGTGCTTAGTTCTGATCTCTGCACCTGGGAGACGTGGAGACATAGGTGGAGTGGTAAAAGGATCCATAATGGTGGAGTTGTTGATAGTTTAGTCCTAATGTGAAGAGTTTTAATTTCGAGGTTCTACAGCCTGAACGCACGGACTTTTGTCCCCATGTTCGTAAGGGGATGTCATGTGAGGAGCTAAGCCTTATTAGGCTTAAAGCTCGGGAGCGCCACCATTCCCGGCCTGGCCTTTGTCGCAAGCGATTAGGCAGGCGATTAGGCAGGCGATGAGGCAAGCGATTACAGCGGGCGCTGTGACATTACCCCCCCCCTTTTGAAGAACGACGCCCTCGTCGTTAAACTCCATGGGCTTGTCGTCGTCCAAATCGTCGTAATCCTCTCGTCCTTCCTCGTACGCTTTTAACCACAATAATAAAGCTCGTAGTAATTTTTTTTAATTTAAATTACGTAAATAAAAGTTTCGTAATTTAATTAATACGTATTTAATATTTAACGTAAATATTAGTCAAAATTTCGTTATAATTAAATTAATTTATTTTATAAAATAAACGATTTTTATTTAATTTCGACGTTAATATTTTTTATATTTTATATTTAACGTTTTTCGTAATAACGATTTTATTACGGTTCTGAGTTGAATAGGGTTTAGGTCACGTGATTGTTTCAGTTAGTGTTTGAGGATCCAGCTTATCTGTCCTCAACACTCTTCCACTCTCTTAGTTCTTTGTCTATTATTTACAGATTAGTATGTACGTCTTGATTCTATAGTCTAGAGTGCGTGCTGTTACAGATTTTTTTCGAAAAAAATT